CGCAGTATAGCTCTGAAGGAAGCCACAACACTATAGTGACTGCCTGCTCGCAGTATAGCTCTGAAGAAGGCCACAACACTATAGTGACTGCCTGCTCGCAGTATAGCTCTGAAGAAAGCCACAACATTAAGGCCGAAACGTCAGCTCATCAACTGAGACGCGGCTCAACCCGCACAGCCAAGTACCCAATTTCTTCAATATTGATATTCTTCGTTCGGTTTGAAGGAACTCGAGGGCCTGAGAGTTTGAAATTGATATTTTAAATTTTTGTTGGTACTTTACATGATGCCTTACTTACATTTTCAAAATTTTCTAAAAAAGGCTTCAATTTTTTTTATTAAACTTTGTCAGCAGGTAGTGTAAAAGACGCTTTAGAGAACAATGGTCTCATTTTCGTTCAAATCAATGATTTTCAAAAACTGCATTCGTTTAAAATGCTTTCTCCGTCTTTCTACAACTACAATTTTGAAGATAGATTTTTTCCTTAATAAAATCTGTTCTTTAAAGATATATCTTAAAATAAGTCGTGTACAATTTTTCGGAAATATGAGACTTTTTGCGTAATTTTGCGTGAAATATAGGCAATTTTTAACCATTTTTTCAAAAGCGGCCCTTAATTATTTCTTTAAAACTATTCCCGAATGTATCAAAGAACGGTAAAAAAACTCCCTAGCCCCATTTATGGTGAACACTATTTTTTTTTTAAATCGATAAGGTAAAATTCCAAAACTACTCATTTGAATATAGAGATTTTTGTCTAAAATGATGAGAAAAGTAGATTTTCAAATAAGGTCATTACAAGTTTGAATAAAGAAGCACTTGAAAAAACTAGTAGTTTAGTGCAATTTTCGCTTAAAATCAATGCAAATTATATTTTTCTTCATAAACCGTTTCAGTTTTTTCTTCAAATGCTTCTTCACGGATAGAACAAGGAACGCTAAAATGTATGGCGCATGTCTCATCGTCTTTGAACTTCCTGAATTTTCGAAAATTTGAAATTTATAAATAAAACGAGAAAGTATAAGCACCACTATTGAGAACAAAAGTTCTCAAAACTTTTAGGATATAGAGAGAGTACTATAAGATGGGACCTCTTTGACAACTATATGGTCACTATACACAAATACATGACAACTATATGACTATATGGTCACTTCTGGCTAACTAACTGCAGGTTTTGCTCATGAACGCATTTTGCTAGTGCGTTCTTTTACAATTAGCTCACTTCTAAATGATTCGTCGCTACCTCTTTTGCAAGAGTTTTGCAACTCTTTTGCAGCAATGTCATCGCCCTGGATGACATTCGTTTGTTCCCCGACCTGTCAAGATGGTCCCTTCTTAGAGTAACTCCTATAAAGCTAGAGTTCTATTGAACTTGGGAAATAGAGTGGTCGCCGCCGCCTAATTTTCTATTTTTTTAAATTTTTTTCAACGGACATTGTACCTATATTAACGGAGCTACCTCGAACGGTAGCCTGTCATCCGCCCACCAGGCACCTCAAACGTTTCAGGAACGCTGTGTTGCCTTTCCGTCCTTAATGAGCGACTTTCGTAAGCAGCTATGCTTTGCTCTTAGAGCAAAAAAAACAACATATATTATAGAAACGAGCGTTGTTGCCTTGAGTGTAATACGAAAATGCAAATTAAAATGTTGCTTTATCCTTTAATGAAATGAATTCGGTAGAGGCCAATTTTTTTCAAATTGTTGTACGGACATTATTTTAGAAGTTTAAAACACAATTAGAAAATGTTGAAAACAGAGCCAAATGCCAGATTTTGCAAATGTAACTTTGTAAGCGAGCACTTCTCTCGAGGTCCATTTCTTCCGGAACCATAAATGGAAGATGATTGGGAGGTAAATTGTATCGGCACTTCATTCGTAATTCCACTATTGAGTAGATTCTTGTTAAAATGAAATGTGTCAGAATAATGAGAATGATTCACGCTATAGACAAACACGCTTCTCCAAACTCGGAGGTTACATATTAAAATAATAATTTCGTGCATGTAGATGTTTATAAATGTAATAAATGATTTGAACTTGATGTTTGTAGTTTTGAAGAAATATTTTGTGGCAATACACCCCTGTTGAGTCGCGGACTACAGGCAATTTAAGTGCAAACATTCTGCTGACAAACTGATAAGAATGTGAAAACGTTCAAAGAAGAACATGTAGTGTGTAAGCTGCAAGAAGAGATGCTGAAAACTAATTCTGACCCCTTGATATCTAATGACAATGAATATATAATAGACAATTATAAACATACGTAAAAAAATATTTATCAATAAATTATTTTATATTAACTTTTGAAATCGGCGACATCCTTTTGGAGAGCCAGTGATACGCCGTGTGGGTTTGGACACATTGAACGTCCTAGTCTATTCCTGATTGAATCCAACACTACACTAGAACTCAGCGGTATACAACAGAAAATTGAAATTAAATTTCCCTGTAGTCATGCAGATTTCAGACCTGTTTATTACACAGATAATGTTGTCTCTGAATCAGACGTCATTTAGGTCAGATAGATTTCTCAAAGTATCTGACGAACTTTAATACAATATTATGTCAATATTGAATGTTATAATAAGGTTATTAGTATTTTATGACTAATATTTTTTCTAAATAATTGGTACATCTTATCTGGACTATATATACATGATTTTTTTTTAAATTTGTTCCGTCTATATCGATCGGAACGCGTATTATTATTATTATTATTATTATTATT